TTGTCACTTTATACATTTCTGAAGCAACTGAACTTTTTCCTCCATTGAGTACACACTATCACTTTTATATTTTCTAAAACAGAAGATTCTTCTTTTTGCCAGCTGAATTAGAAACTTGTTTTTAATTATAATACTCAATGCTCACAAATGTATATTAAAAGACCAACATTCATCTAATGCTAGTGAGTATAAACTGGTACATATTACCAAACACCATTCTAAAAGTCTGTATGAAGGGCCTTAAAATTTTCCAAGCCCTATGACCTAATACTTACGCTCATAGGAATAAATTACAAGGAAATAATTTAACATACAACCCAACACTCATGCACAGATGTCAGTACTTTAAAAAAAAGTGAAAAGGAAAAATTAAAAAAAAAATGTCTAATAAGAGAGAAACCTAACTTAACTAGGAAATGAGCATACAAAGAAATGGTTTCAACTCAGCATACTTTAAAATAAATTTCTAAAATAATTCACCTGCAAAAAGTTATAGTTCTGAATGCTCTGAATTTGCTCCAAGTTCAAAGGAACAGCAGATCACTATAGTTAGTAAGTTTCTGATGACACAGGGAAATGTTCACAATATAATGCTAGGCAATAAAAGAGAAAATATGAACAACATAAAAATAGATTCTACCCAAGCACACAAACCTGAACAGATATTCAGATGATATTAATTAATCAAAAATGGCATTGCAAACAAAACACTAGAAGGGGAAGTGCCATAGTGCGATGGGCAGTAGAACTCTGGGTATGTTTCCTTCCACTTACCTATATTCTCATAAATTTCCAAATTTTTTCACTGACGCTGTATTACTTGGTAAATACAAGTATTTATCAATTTTTTCTTGGGAGAAAAAATTAAAATCTGAGAGCAAAAATAAATCCACCAGATTTACCATTCACCAAAACCCATCAATTCATTGAATTATTAAGCACAAAATCAGACCGCTCGGGGTTAAGAAATGAATGACAGCTAAAGGAGGGAAAACACTTACAGAAAAAGACCAGATACGCAGGACCACATGAAGAACAAGTCCAAAAGGAAGAAAATGGGCAATACACTCCCAAATATCAAAATGTACATATCCTTTTATTTCCCCCAGTGCACCCTGTACATGAATGGAATTACAGAAGTTGGTTTTATTTAAATATACAGATCTGATTTCTAATTGTTCTGCAATAGTATGCCATACTCTTGTGACCACTGAAGTATATAAACTTTGCCCTACAAAACCCACATTTTAATCTAGAATTAAAACTCTGCCATATCAAATGGTTTTAAGCACTTAAATTCATAGAAATATGGCAGACAATATGAACAAATGAGCGGAATTTAAAATAAATTTCCGGGACTTCCCTGGTGGCGCAGTTGTTAAGAATCCACCTGCCAATGCAGGACACATGGGTTCGAGCCCTGGTCCGGGAAGATCCCACATGCTATGGAGCAACTAAGCCCACAACTACTGAGACTGCATTCTACAGCCCACCAGCCAAAACTACTGAGCCCACGTGCCACAACTGCTGAAGCCCACGCACCTAGAGCCCATGCTCTGCAACAAGAGAAGCCACCGCAATGAGAAGCCCACACGCCGCAACAAAGAGTAGCCCCCGCTCGCCGCAACTAGAGAAACCCCACACGCAGCAACAAAAACCCAACGCAGCCAAAAATAAATAAATAAATTTATATAAAAAAAGAATTGATTTTCAAAATAAATAAACAAATTTCCAATGTTATTCATCCTCAAAGAGTTTCAGTTCTGTATGTTCTAGAACTATTTCAAGTTTTAAAACAACTAGCCTATCACTATTGTTAAAAAACAATTTCAGTTGTTAAAGAAGCCCAACAAATAAAGAACAGTATCAACTGCTGTATCCAACAGCTTGTCCCACTAGTGTTCCCTTGGATGTTAACAGGTATAAATAAGAAATAAAAGGAAGGTGAGGTCCTTTTATCAAATAAACTGGAAAAATGCAAACGCCTTTATGTTAATGTCCACAGTGATCTCTGAGGCAGTGCATTTTCCAAATTTAATCTCCTAAGTGATTTCTACATTCTAAATAAACTGAATTTGGTTATCACTTAATTCAAAGCGGTAAAAAGTAGCTCCTAGGTTCCCAAGATGACAGTGTGCTTGGGTAGAACGGTGTCACTCATCGCTAACAGGGATAAATAGGAGAGGAGGGAGTGTGTGCAGGAGAGACATGTAGGAGGCAGTTACATGAGTCTGGAGCTCAGAAGAGAAGAGTGGGACACAAAGGTAGATTTTGACAACATCGGCATGAAGGTATCAGCTGAAGCCATTACTGCAAATGCTATTAACCAGAGAGTGCTTTCTGTTTTTACTCTAGATGGCTTGAATTCAACAGACAAGTGTTTAAGATTTATCATAAACATCCACTGCAAAATTTGTTATATATCTGCCCCCTCTTCCAATTGAAATGTGCTCCTATGTGCTCCTTGATTCTAAGTACAGAGATCCTTACGAGCAGAACACTATTACAGTACCTGGTACAAAGCAAATGTTAGCCAAATAAAATGTTTGGTCATAAATGATTTTTTTTCCCAAAAATCAAAAAATAATCTAATTTTACCTAATTTACATTCTAACTATATTTTAAAATATGCAAAAATTCCCTCAAATTAAGTTAAGTACAGGAACACCTATATACACACGTACCAGAGATATATTGAAGTTTAACTTTGGTTTGCTGTTCAGTAAAAATCGATTATTAAGCTGTGGCTTTTGAAAGACAGTCAGTCAAAGCACACTTCAATGTCCTTTCTAGCATCCCTGAACCTGCACCTAAAATGAAATGGTATGAGAGAGTAAGGTATCATCACAGCTAACCAACATAAAGTCAGGACCATGAATGCCTGGGGAAACAGTATTCACTTTCAAGTAGGCAAAAGCATTCTAGAAATAACTTTCAATGAAAAAACTCCTTACGAGCTTTTATGTGTTAAAATTCTATCCGTTGAAGAATAAATGTGTGCACAGTAAAACAAGAGCAAACTTCATTAATTAATGATGATTGTGAAAGCTGTTAATTTTACATTCAAAAACAATTATTAATTTTCAAACTGTTGAAAGGGAAATACTCCAACAGCTAATATGTATATTAGAGAGAGTCAGATCTTTCTTCTTGAGTTTTTTCCTTTATGAGCCAGTAAATGTTGGTAATTTTTAAAGACTATGAGGCTGAGTAAGAGACTAGATTATATCATACATCTAGTATTTGTAATTTTTTTGTGTGTTCTAGCATTCATAAAATTAACTAGATAACCTTTAAAAACTGGATTTACTCTTTAGATATTTCATTTCATCCATAAGCCTTTCAAGAAAAAGAGTTATTTAGAAACTCTTCATATCTTATGAAGGTAAACTAGAAATAAAATAGCAACTTTGCCACCTCAAAATTTCTTAAGGGAAAATCTCCAAAATCATTAATATTCATGGATAAATCTATGAGATACCCCCAAAATACTTTGTTCCTCTACTGACCTCAGGCGAAAGTGAGCATCTACTTGGTATAGCCAATGTGCAGTATAGTGCCCAAGGAGCAATCCGGGAGCTGACAGTGCTGAGCAACTGTTCCTGCACCAAAAGGTCAAACGTATAAAATCTGACAACAAAATTTTCATAAAATTCTATAATTTTTTCTGTAAATATTCCTATTTATTCCTCTATGACACTGACATTCAGCCTCAGCATCATGTTGCTTTTGTCAGCCACTCAGCCAGCATGTGTACATGGTGTACCTCTAATACGTACAGGCAAATATACATGTGTACCCGAGAGACAGATTACAGAGATAATTACTCAAACACCTTTTACTCAAAAAAGAATTATCATCAGATTCTTTGAGTCCCTCATGAATGTAAAGTATGATTTGATCTATAATTAAATTTAATATATATTCAAGCACATTTCTTCATACAAAATGGCACACCTGAGACATTGTTTTTTAAAATCCCGAGCTGAAGTCAAAAAATGGTAATTTTTTTTCTTTTTAGAAAACAAATATCACCCAAATAAAAAGCAATCACAAAATCCTTAACACCTTCACCAATAACGTAATTAAGCATCTATCCAAGATTTCTGTGGTTACTTCTTTTCCAGTTAAAGGTCACTCTTTTAAACAGTTTATAAATCAAATAAGACTATCTCCGAGCAGGCCTGCAAATACAAGCCACTTGGTCCAACAAAAGGCCTCCTAATCGGCCTGAGTTAAGAACATTCAAGTTTAAAAGTTAGTTAACACTTCATCCATTAGCTACACTACATTTTCAAGAGCCCAAACACAGCCACAGATGGAACAAGCCTCCGTTTTTCCATGTATAAGATCACCTCAAATAATTATAAAGCAATCAAAAATATTCTTTCAAAAATGCCTTCTATACTGCTTCTCTTGTATAAATACAAATGACAAAAGGATAAACGGGAAGGAGAAAAGGAAGAAAGAAAGGAGAAAGAGAGGAATGAAGGAAGGGATGGAGAGGCAGGAAAGAAAAAAAAAAATCCCAGACCATATTTTTTAAGGAATCATACATATGGGTATAATATCCTTAACTGAATTACCAGAGACTTAAGACACACTACTAACATCTACTCCCTATGCCTTTAAAAAATCTGCTCTCTTCTAACAGGGATCTGGGGGAACATGCATTCAACCATAAAGGTGAATATTTTATTTATTTTTAACAGAAATACTTCAATTCTCGCCAAAGTATTAGCCAACACCCCTTTTGAAAAGGTCAAGTACTAGCAATCACTATGCTGTATTTGTATTAATAACACTATCTGTCACTGATTATCAAACTGATTCCCAAAGTCAAGTTTAATAAATATCCCAACTATCTTTGCATTTATTGATCTAAATAATTCTCCCCACTAATGCTGTTTATCAGAAAGCTCCCGCATTCAAAATATACCACCAGTTCCCACATTCTCTCAGACAGCCACAGTTTTACTGTATTTCAAAACTTGAGTCACCTGTATGCATCGTCTTCTTTCAAGTCTCATATCATCCTGATGGGGTGGGGGAAGGGAGGGAAGAGTCCAGCAGCAAAACTATAACACTGTGTGAAGAAAAACAGATTATGATAAGAGATAAGGATGCAAGACAATTACCCCTAATTGAGGAACATCTAATGTAAATACAATCCCCAAAACATAGAGATAAAATTACTGCAAATTCATTTCCTCACATTTATTTAAGCTTACTCGAAAATAATTTTCATTAATGAAAAGCAATTATATATAAAATATTTAATTGTCAGGGAGAAAAACAGTTTTAAAATCTGACTACTACCAACAAAAATTTCACACATTTCTAGGGATGAAATAAACTGTCAATATTACACTGTTCTATGTAATTTTATCTGAATAAAAAACATCTACATTTTGTAATCTACATCAATTCACAAATCAGTAAATGTGAATTCACTTTTCACCATGGCTTACTATCAGAGGTAATGAAACTTACTCTATAGGAACGATCACATCAATCTACCAATGTTACTGGTAAATTAAGTTCTGAGACACTGCTCACCAACTGTTCCCCTAAGCCCACAAGCCCTCTTTTGCTCTAGGAGTGGCTTCTTGTACTTATTGTAATTCTTTCACTTTACTTCCTACTTATTACTTCCACTGCTATTTTATGATTGGCCAGCAAATTCCATGACTGATGGGAAAGAAAAGCAACCTGGCAGCTACTGTCAACTGAGAGCACGTGATGACGGACAAGACAAAGACAAGCACAGGCTGAAACCTAACTTATAAATGAGTCTGGTCTAAAAATCTATTTTTCAAATTGATGCTGTGGAAGTAAGTATTATTCCTAATGAAACAATGTTGCTTATGTTGGCCAAGTTCCCAGACTAGCCAAAAGACATCTATTGAACCCAAAAGATAATTACACCAGCCATGGGCACTGGGGACCCTGCAGAAGAAACATAGAAACTTAACCAATTCTAGATCCTCTCTTTATCCAGACAAATTCTGAAATAGGTTGTTTTCCTTTGTTAGCACTCTCTCAACTCCTGATGCCTGTAATTCCCTAAATTTTACATTATGACATTCCAATCATCCTGCTAATAACAACGCTTTCCCCTAAGTATGTTCCTAAATTACCACCCAAAGCTCCTACTGCCTCAGTGTAGTTCATTTCAGGTATGTGATAGGAAGAAATCAACAGGGCTGAAATAATTCACTTTAATATTTGCAGTTTTCAACAAGGATGCTAGCTAGTTAACCCAAATAAACCCCTAAATGATAGAATTCTAACAGTGTTGCAAAATAATGTTAAAAACTACTGAGATAGTTTGAGGAAAAACATTTTTATGCAAGTGGGTCATAATATGGATTTGACTATTTATTGCCACCAAATATTTCTGCTTTTCACTTATTTCTGCTTCTACTTACTTTTGAACCCCAGAAGTTCTTTAAAAGCTCAAATTCTGTACTCCAAATAGCAGCAACTGAAAGAGCAGCTCAGGGAAGGGGTTTACATGTATGAATTACTTGTAAATTAGGAACTACCTGTGTCTGAAATCATTCCCTGGATTCCAGATTCCATTCCTGAAGAACCACTTTTCCAGCTTAGATGCTGCTGTGATATCAAGGAAAACCCTAGGCATGTGACCAATTAGTACCCAACTTGGGGGAAAGGCGATATGGACAGATAAATGGATGAACATTAAAGTAGTGCATCAAAATAGTTTTATTTGCAAAAATAATATTTGAATCATCAAGATTCAAGATTTTTTACTTCAAAGACATAGTTTTCTAATAATTTTTCCCTCATAAATGGTCAGTCTTTACAATTCTAGCATAAACCATGGTAAAGGAAAATGTGAATTTTTAAATCTCTTGCCATGAACTGCACATTTTCAAATCCTTCAGGCTCTTGACATCACATTCTTCACCTGTAAGATGTCACAATGCTACCTATACCCTGCCAACTTCAATGGTTTCAATAGGAAAAGATGAGTCGGCCAGTGGCACAATGGATAATGCATCTGACTCTGGATTATCAAAATGGTCTCACCCTAAAACTGACATCTTTTAGAAAAAAAATCAACCATTTAATCACACTCATTTGAAGAGCAGCCTTTAGCAAAGGGTAAAGAATTTCTGTAAGTTACAAAATCTGCTGCTGACATATGCAGCAACTAAACCATCATATACTGAGAAATGATAAACTCCTCAAGTCTTGACCTTAGATTACTTTAAATAAAGATTCTAGTGATTATTCCAATATATCCTTCAGGCTGGTCACTTTTCAAAAAATAGATGTGAGTTTTAATGACAATAAGTAAGTAACAGCGAACAACAAATGTACTTTGCAATTATAGATACAATTTTCTTTCTAAAGAAGCTTACAAATCCAGACAGTCATATTTTTCTTTTTTTCTGAGAAAAACCTACAGTGATTTTTTTATCTTTCCCCCCACAAATGGAGCCATTCACAAATTATGGAGCAAAATTAGATGCCAACAAAAAGCATCTACTATCCTTACCATAGGAACCTCCCATAGTCCTCAAAATCTTTTACAGTATGTTTTAGCTCACATTTTGCCCAAGGCAATACAATGGTCTATGAACGATCTAGGAACTGAGCTTAAGTGGTTTCTGAAGTTAACTTACAAACCAATTTTTAGTTGTCTGAAAATCACTGCATAAAATTAACCTACAGCACATCTGCAGGGATAACAGAATTTCAACAAGCTGAGTTTACGTGCATGGTATGCTCAGGAAGGTATCAGACTCGCTCTCTTTGTGTCTGTCTCTCTTTCTCAAGAGGGGTGGGGGAGATGAGAGGAGGGGAGAGAGGGTGGGAGGATATCGAGACACCTAATCAAAAGCACTGTCATGCTGAGATTTATAAAATTACTACAAATCTGAAAAAAACTAGGGTGGCAAAACTATGATTGAAATGAATGCATTAGCATGATACGGCAAATCCAGATTAACTGAAGAGTTAAACTAAATGGCAGGTATTAATGTATTCTCTAATGACACAATGTTTTGTACTGAGGCAAAACTAAAAACTGTATCTAGTTTTGTTTTTTTTTAAATAATTTTATTTATTTATTTTTGACTGTGATGGGTCTTTGTTGCTGTGCGTGGGCTTTCTCTAGTTGCAGAGAGCGGGGGCTACTCTTCGCTGTGGTGCGCGGGCTTCTCGTTGTGGTGGCTTCTCTTATTGTGGAGCCCAGGCTCTAGGCGTGCGGGCTTCAGTAGTTGTAGCACGCCTGCTCAGTAGTTGTGGCTCGCAGGTTCTAGAGCTCAGGCTCAGTATTTGTGGCGCTCGGGCCTATCTGCTCCGCAGCATGTGGGATCTTCCCAGACCTGGGCTTGAACCCATGTCCCCTGCATTGGCTGGCGGTTTCTTAACAACTGAGCTAACAGGGAAGCCCTATATCTAGTTCCAAAATAACTAAAGTAGTAGGGAAGTATCATAAGCAGCCAGTGAAAAAACTCCGTCTGATACAAGCTTCAGAAGTACTGGTAGGTACTATTTTATTTCTTAAGCTGGGTACAAGTATACAGTTGTTTTTTTTATGACCTTTTAATTTTATGTGTTATATCAATATATATTCTCATATATTCACAATTTTAAAAATTTAACCCACATGAAAAAATAAAATATAATGCACAATGAGATTTAAAAGGACAATTCTGATAGTTCAGAAGATGCCAATTAAGAATAAGCTACAAAAAAATAAAAAAATAACAAGCTACAAAACTGAAAACAAAGTTGAGAGAGTGGCATGAACTTATATGTACTCCCAAATGTAAAACAGATAGCTAGTGGGAAGCAGCCGCATAGCACAGGGAGATCAGCTCCGTGCTTTGTGACCACCTAGAGGGGTGGGATAGGGAGCATGGAAGGGAGGCGCAAGAGGGAGGAGATATGGGGATATATGTATATGTACAGCTGATTCACTTTGTTATAAAGCAGAAACTAACACACCATTGTAAAGCAATTATACTCCAATGAAGATGTTAAAAAAAAAATGAAAACGAATTTGAAAGACCTAAAATTTGATTCCATGGATCAAATTACAATGTGATTATCTTAAAATTATACTCTGTGATTAGCTTTCCTTATAAACTTCTGCTCATTTACACTAACAGAGCAAGGAAGTGATAGAAGAAAATGTCTTTTTTCCAGATAATAATTTTAGAAATAGATTTTCAAGAATTATAATAGCCAAAGGAGTCATGGGGGAAATGTTCTGATACCTAACACACAAGGAAAATAAAAAATCTATAACTCTAATTCCCAATAAGATGATCAAATGGCATACACAGAAAAAAGTCCTTTCACTAACTGGGGCTTTCAAGAGAAATCCTAAAAACCAAGAACATTTATGATTTCCCCCAGGATCCCTAAGAAATAGTCACAGTCTTAAAAAAAAAAAAAAAAAAAAAAGTAAAAAGGCAAAAAGCATTATGATGATATCAAATCGAAATTATGAGTAAAAGTGCAGGGAAAAAGCCATTTGCTATACACCATCAGCTGAGACACTTCACAGACGTTGACACACACCACACACCGTACAAGTAGGCACTGTTATTTCAACGGTGGGGAAATCAAGGGTCAGAGAGATTAACCTGCCTGGCCTATGGGCACTGCTTGAGAACTCTGGTCCCACACCAAAGTTCACTACTTTCCACCACTCCAAGATGCCTCTCATTAGGGATCATTGAAATGGTTAGGAGAAAATTGCAAACCTGCAAGAATCTAGGTGACTTAGTCTGATTTTAGACTCACCACTCTTCTGCCTCAACCATACCAAACATGAAATAAAGCTCATAAGCAGTAAATTAATTTGTATAAAGTATTTCACTTTAGGGGAATGGAAAAGTAACTCTCCTGCAAAGTCAGCCTAGCAGAGAAATTCTGATTACAGCATGTAACAGTTCGTTCTATATTCCCTTTACCAAAAAAAAAAAAAACAAAAGAATTAAGGAGACAAGATGAAAAGAGTGTAAAAACCAACAGCAGATAAGTTATTTTTGCACTAAAGCCTCAGGCAAGATAAAAAGAACATGAAGGACTGAAAACCTG